AGAGCGACACGAAACCGGGACGGTGGCATCATCGTCCCTTCAAGGCAACGCTTCTTGATTTTGCAACGCTTCAAAACTTCTTTTTTTTTTTGCAATTAGAAAAAAATGAAGGCAGTTGACCCTCTTTTTTGGGGATGGCGGCCCTTCCCCCATCCCCTCAAGTCTGTTGTGCTTTTGGGGTCCGATTGCCTTCATTTTTTAATGGCACAGCAGCGTCCGCTAAAGAGTCACCCGTTTATATGTCATGTTTCTTAAACATGGTGCGGTGGTGAAGGCATCAAACTAGAATAGAGGCCTTCAAACTTGGCAACAGCTATGCTGGCTGGGAAATTCTGGGAGCTGAAGTCCACAAGTCTTAAAAAGTTGCCAAGTTTGGGGACCCCGAGCTAGGAGATGGGGAGTTCTAGTAGCACCTTGGGCACAAAGCCAGCTGGGTCCCCTTGGGCCAGCCCCATTCTCCCAGCCCTAGGAAGGTGGCAATGGCCAAGGGTTTCTCTAGGCAGATTCCGAGAATCAGACACAACTAAATGGAAAGGGGGGGGGGATCGGCTTAAGAACAATTGAATGACCCATATTTACTTCCTACTTAATTTAGGAGGTTGCCCCCCCAAAAACCCCAACCCCCAAAATAGCTCCATCGTTGGTGCTAAGCAAGGGCCAGCCGGGTTGAGTTCTTCCCTGGCATTGCGTTTGTCTAAGACACGTCTCCAAGATTGGCGGCTTTTTAAGACTTGTGGACTTTCAACTCCCAGAATTCCCCAGCCTGGATTTCCTTGATGGCTGGGGGATTCTGGGAGTTGGAAGTCCACAAGTCTTTAAAAAGTTAACCATTTTGGAGAGCCCTGGTTTTAAGATGAGGAATATGACAACTTGCTTGATTGCCGACGCCAGAATCGGCCCACGGTTGAGCTCCCATCAAATGGCTAGAAACGGCAAAGCAACTGGTCATCCACTCCATTTTTTGGGAAGGACACTCCAGAGGCCAAAGGTCACCTCAGCTGGACAACAGCCGAAGGCCACAGGCACAGCCACCTGGAAGTGAAGAGAAAACCTGCGAAACGGCAAAATCTGCATTTTCTGATCCAACATCTTCGCCTTCCATGATGGCAGATTGCTCCCTCTCCTCCCCAGAGATGGCCAGGATTCGAACTCACTTCCTTGCCCGTTCCCCCTTTGAAAATAGCCCATCTGGGGATCTCCCAGTCTTGGCACTCGATCTCATACTGCAAAACCAGATCCACGCGATCTAGTGTTTTGTTTTGTTTTTAACTCCCAAACCCACAGCAGCAAAAGGGGAAAATTGGGAGGCCCCAAAACTTTGCAAAGAAGGAACCTTCGGAGTTGCGTTTTAAAATAGCAGAACTTTTAAAGGGATTTTTTTCCCCCTCCTTCCATAACCTGTTTTTACAAAATGTTGTGCTCGTATATATAATATATATATAATATAAAAACATTTTGTATCGATGCAAAACACTTCCCCCCCCCCCCCCCCACAAGCGACGGAGACAAAAGTTCCCACACAGTCACAAGGTTGTCGTCATCGGCAATGGGTTTTTTTTTGGTGGCAAAACTCTTTTGAGGACATAAACAGGGCCAGCCACGAAACTGGCCATTTAGGGATGATGAATGGAAGGAAGAAACGAGGCGACATCATTTTGGGAAGAGAAGAAAAGAGCAGGCAACTCTCCTTTGCCAAAAATATGGGTGTGCCTGGTTTATAGATAGCTCCTTTTTCGTCCACAAAGCAAGCCTTGGGGCTGTTTAAAAACCAGTTTGTCCCGCTGTGAGTTCTACCAGCAGGAGCCCGCTTGAATCTAGTGGAGAATTTCCTGCGTTAATTACTCTCAATAAAAAAACATTAAAAGTTCAGGGATCCTTCCGGGGCGACGGCTGCAAAACCAGTTAGGGTCGCTTTGAGGCTGTTTTTGAGGCAACGCAGAATATCAAAGCGATGCAGCTTTTAGGGTGGCTTGAGCCCAAGAGTTAACGTACAGTTTGTGATTGCCCTTCAATTGCAGCCTGCAACTCTATAAAAGACCCGGGTGAAAATTGGGCACATTTTTTTTTTTTTTTGCTGATGACCCCAGGCACCCCTAAGATGCAGGATCGCAGGCAAGAAGTTCCAGAAGGTGTGTAATTCAGGAAGATCCAGAAAGTCTTTTAATGACGATTCGTGGTTTAGCTCGTTTTTTTGCTCAGCAATCCAAGTTAAACCAAGTAAGTTTCCCAGATCAGCCAGTCACTCTAATATGCCAAATCCTTTTTTTCCCCCTCTCATTTCCTACCAATTTGATCCCTAATAAAGGAAAATGTTTGTAGCTCAGGGTTAAAATGAGGCGGTGCCCTCTGAGCTTGGTTGTTTTCCTGCAGATGTTTCGTAACCCAGCTAGATAACGTCGTCAGTGCTAGAAGCACCATTTGAAACAAACCTTGCTAACACTGACGAAGTTACCAAGTTGGGTCCTGAAACGTCTGCAAAAAAACAACCTAGCTCAGAGAGCCCCAGTGTCCCCAGTCCTTCCTCCTCCTCCTCCCCTTTTCCTTCACAATCCCAACTCCCTTCTAGCACTGATGACGTTACCCGGCTGGGTCATGAAACGTCTGCAAGAAAAGCACCAAGCTTAGGAACTCTTCCATTTGATCCCTGCTTCTTTCCGAAGTCCTGTTTCCTGAAAGACCCTCCTTGCTGGCCCATTACAGGTCAAACAATTTGGGTGCAGCCTAGAGGGTCTTCCGAGAAAGCCCACCCCTCTCCTTCCTTCTCGACCAGCAGACGTAGTCTCCCATCATTTCTTAGCCAGGATTTATATCTACCGTTCCAAATTGTGCCCTGTTCTTTGGAAGGATCTGCAACCCACCTACTACTTGCTGCAGAAGGAGAACCGAGGGCTCGGATGGAAGTCCTCCATGGTCTCAAACTACACAGGAACCGAACCTGGAATCCAGGAGGACCGAAGTGCCAAAATTCATAGCGGAAGAGCAAACCCTGCAAAACCATCTATATGAGACTTGTTTGTTTGTTTTCCTGGACTGCACTAGTCGGGATATTTAAAAGGGTTGGTTCAATTCTTCACGGAAGAAAGCATGTGACTGATGCCGCTTCTATGCCTGGCATGGTAACGAAACACAGAATCAATTGATTTTATCTTGTGATGCGTCAGCTCTTCGACACCTGCTTTCAAGTACAACGCCAAGAGAAAACTGCGAACTCAGCTCAATGTTTTCCCCCGGGATTTTCGTTTAAGTGGCGCCACATAAGCCCAGCCCCCTCCCCCGCTCCTCCGGTTCTGGGTGCAAGTCGCCATTATTCAGCTTTGGGGCGCAGGAGAAACAGAATTCATAATATCCTCAGAGAAATTCTCCTGTAGCAGGGGTGGCTAACCTTTTTTGGGTTCCTGTGCTGAAAATTGCACGCGTGCCAGAAGGCAATGCGCGCGCGCCCCCCACGTATGCATGCACGATCCCTGTCACCCCTTTACCTGCATTGCACATGCGCGCGCCTCCTGGCTGATTTTTCAGCCTCCCAGAAACTCAAGGGAAGCCTCTACAGCCTTTGTAGACCGAAAAATGGGCCCGTTTTGTCACTTCCTGTATTTCTGTAAATACAGGAAGTGACGAAACGGGCCTGTTTTTCGGCCTACAAAGGCTGCAGAGGCTTCCCTCGAGCCTGTGGGAGGCCGAAAAAGGCCCCAAACGGGCCGAAAAATCAGCTGGAAGGCGCACGCATGCACAGTGCAGGTAAGTTTGGCTGGGGCTCATGTGCCCGCACAAAATGGCTCTGCGTGCCACTTGTGGCACCCGTGCCATAGGTTCGCCATCCCAGTCCTATAGGCTTTGGAATAAAAAGGCCTTGCTTGTTGCAAAACTGAAAGCTTAAGAATAAGCACCACCCGCCCACAATGCCTGGCGCTAATCCCTCCCACGTCACAACTCCGCTTCCCACCGCAGGCTGGCCAACATGTCCTCCACTCCCTCTCCCACCTGTTCCCCTTTCTTCGTTTCTTAACGCTTGATTCCAGAGGAGAAAATCCCTGTGGGTTTGTAGCATGCAACTTCCCCAAAAAAAATTTCTTCCTTTTTTTTTTTTTTTTAAAAAAGGAAAACCTAAAAGGCTGGCCCGTCTGCACCAGGTCCACACCCACCTGAGTTCCAGGTAAGGGTTATTATTATTATTAGGCCCAGCCTTGGCTTGGAGAGATGCTTTCTAATCCTGAGCAACAACTGTGGTAAGGCAAGGATGTTTTTTTTCCCCCCGAAACTAGTGGACAACCGAAGCTGCCGCAGGCCGGCTCGTACCTCTGAATACCGCAACACAAGAATCCAAAATAAAATAAAATAAAACCACATCTACCAGCCTATTAAGTGCTTTCCTGAAGCAAAGTCGCAGGAGAAGGAATGCCATGCGTGAAGGTTCAGCAGCTCGCACGCCTGCTATTTCTTTCCCCCCCGACGACGATTACAGTTTCAAGATAAAGTCTACCTCTCGATTTTCCATTCCTGACATCCTTGCTTTTTTTCCCTGTTTGGCTTGATTTTTTGTTTGTTTTCCAGCTCTCCATGTACCATAAGCTCCTGGCCCCCAAGTTTTCGGAGTCAAAAA